ATAAAGTAGTAAAACCTAACACAAAATATCTATTTCATATACCAAAAGAAACAGCATTTCCAAGATAATTCTATTTGAGCATATCCATTGCACATAGCTGCCAACACTCAACTTTCGGAAATTGTCACTGTGATTAAAAAAAATAGATCTCACAAGATAGAATTATAACGATGCTAACGAGAGAGAGAGAGAGAGAGAGGAAATCATGGTTAAGTAATTACGACACTCTTAAATAAATAAAAGAATGTACTGCTCTATTAATTAGGTCCTACAGTTAGTTTTCTTATATGGAAGAAACAAATAGCTGCCTAAAAATTTTTAGAATCATTGAGATACATTGATTGATGATCCATCACCACGAACGATAAACTCTTGAGAGCAGGCATCCATCAAATCACAAAGCAGAACTCTTGCAGATGAGATCGATCTAATTTACGCACCGGAAGCATCAGCTTGGACCAGATCGTTTGGTCTAGAATTACGGCCCCTTCCTCGAGTTTGGCCTCTCGCACGACCACGACCTGCAACAATTTAAGTTCATAGGATATGGACTTGCTTTAACAATCAAAGACACAGCTAAATGCAAAAAACGGTCTAAAACTGGGTTTATATTCATTAAGGTAGTCTTCACAAGAATTGGCCGTTAACTAAATGCTTATAATCTCATGGAAACTAACCTCTACCACGGGCAGGTATAGGAGACTCGTCATCATAGCCACCGGCTTCCTGCTGATAGTCAGGCTGGTCACCATAGCCACCCCTGCCACGCCCACGAAAACCCCGACCTCTGCCACGGGAATAGCCACCTCTGCCATACCCATGAGGCCTGCTATCCCAGTCTCCATCACCATAGTCTGTTGTACCATTTCCTAAATGTACAACACAACCAAACCCTTAATAGTTGGATCGTCCAGAATGAACCTACCCAAAAATATATGCATTCCATATACAAAAGATTAAAAAGAGATACTTCAGATGCTTACCACGAGCTCTTCCCCTGCCACGGCCACCACGGCGACCACGGCCTCTACCTCGACCAGTAGGTGAGCCCTCTGTATTTGCAAATAAGATGTCAGAAAAACATTTCATCAAAGCACTTAAATGCATTTGATCTTTTGCTGCTTATAATTTACCTTCTTCGTAGTCAAATTCAGCCAAGGGTTTCACCTGATCTTTGGGCAAGGGGGGTTGATACCTAAAGAAGGATGTCGAGTCAATATGATTCTAAAACCAAGTACAGTCAGTAAGGAAACCTTAAGAAGGAAAAGAAAAAACATAGAGAATTATTCCACTACTGATTCATGAATGCACATTCTGATTTCTACCTGTTGCTTAAATGAATATCTCCAGTGAAGCAAAGGTAATGGGAGCATAATTGGTAACAAACTACTGATAACAAGGTTGATGATGAGTCAACATGCACAAAATGTATAGACCATCAGGTTCAAATGTCTTAATGAGCAATGATGCAGGGTAAGTGAAAAAGAAATGCACAACGAACCAAAGGTTTTGGAAAGAAAATCCAATCTTGAAAATGGACCATTTTGGCTTCGGTAACCTCGACAAAGGCCAGTAGATTACTACGGATGACCAAGTTATTCTAAAAGAGTGACACCAGTATTATCAACTGAAGTTTCTTGCCTCAGATTGTCATTTATAACTTACCAGAATGACAAAAAAATTAATACATAAAAAATGAACACAGGCCCTAACATGACAAAATAAACATGCCTAAAAGGTAAATTATAACATTCAAATACTAAGACAAAAAAATCCCAAATTTAAGTAAGACGATTCTTATCATTTCACTCCACTCACTTGTTCGGTATAAAGGTTTGAAAAAAAAAATCTAAACACATGCCAAGTTCAGAAACCGAATCTAAGAAATGTCTATATAAATCAAAATTCAAGGCCACATGGTACGGAGGAAAACCAATAAGAGACAAGAAAAATCACAACTATTTGATTCCAAAATAAAGCTCCAATACAGAGGAAGAAGATACATGCAATAACTTGTCTGTGGTGCTATAACTTAAAGTCATGAATCAGAAAATATAATGTTCTCTAACTTTAATCATCAATTTTCAGATTATACAATTATAAGAAGGTCTTGTACTAACCCAACAGCTGATGTGTCCAATTCTTTCTTTGACAAGGTTATACTGATCACAGAGACATGCCTAGTAGTCTCAAGCCTGAAAATAATAATTGAGAGATACAAAATAAGGGAAATTTTCAAAGCTCCACACATGGGAAAACATATCCAGCTTTGCAAGTTAGGCATGACAACGTTGTACAAGACTCTCCGAATCAAAAGAAAAAGAAAGATGTCTTCTTACGGAAGTAGGCCTTCCTCCAATGGTTCCCATGTATCGGTTATGTCAGTAGATCCAATAGCAGTATTTTGATGAAGACCAACTATCCTTCTCTGTTCATCATTATAAGTAAAATACATGAGTGCAAAAATTTCTTACATTTAGTTTTGTTTTATTGTAGAAAAATCAGCATAATCAAAGTAACTTGATGTGGTTAATAAGATTAATTCTTAAGATCTTAAGAGGAGAATAGAATAGATATAGAGAATACCTTGATCAGTTCCACAATCATAACAGTCTTATTGATGGCTCTACCCATTGCCTTCAAGACGATTTCATTTGAACCTTTTTCCTATAGAATAATGCATAAACATGTTAGTTGTACCGAAAAAAGACACCTGTGAAACTTTAGACACACAACTACAACAAAAAAACAGAGTCAAGATAAGTACTACTTGTATACTTCTAAACAAACATAGCGATTATGAGTGGCCTCAGATCCTCATATCATAAGTCAAATGTTCACAAATATCTCATTCAAATCCCTTCTATTATTGACCTCAGATTAGTTCGTCCATCAATTTTATCATTATAGACAGCAAATGTCCTCTACAAGGTTAGTGAGTGATAAAACCAATGAAACCTCTACAAGAACATAAGAAAAACCTGAATACATAAAATCAAAAATCCAATCCAGTATATTATTTATCGATTTATCTACAAACAATACCATAATACATCAGTAAGGTTGCTCCTTCTAGATCTAGATAATCAGGGTCCAAGTCGCGGAAATAATCAACCACCCTAGACTCTAGTTATAAGGATGAGACATATTACATTGACTCTATCAATACTTTTGACGGGAGCCTACAGAAGAAGTCTAAACTATATCATCTGCAACAGCAGATAAATTCTTTTTTAATTGAAAGAAATATTCATAACATTAAATTGCATAAATGACACTCACTCATGGAGTCGAACCTAAGTCCTATCACTTGTGCAACAATGCACTAACCAATCGGATGTCTCAATAGAGACAACAGATAGAATTCTTTTTGTCTACATGCTTCATCAAAGTGGTTTCAACCTTTTGAACTACCATTTATTGTCTGAGTTGTCTAGGTAATAATTATGTTGCATTTTAAACACCTCCACTAAGTAAACTTGAATATCATATATACCAACACAATGCCAAGAATATTTGTACATAATCAGCCGATGGTGTACTGATGTGGTGCTTATTTGCATTACCATTTATCACATTACTACTCTTACATGTACACATCCTTGAAAAAGGAAAAACGCAAGGATAGTTCATTTATGAAGTACTGTCCTCTGATTAACATAGAAAAACGATGATGCGGTTAGAAGAAAAACCCTAACTTGCCAATTCCACGTTAATAACTAGCATCCAACAATAAATGTCACTAGTTTAATACCATAACTTTGTTCGCCACACGAATTCATAAACAGATCTTAAGAATGACAGAGAACCTGAGACCAAGCTATAAGATTCAACATATGGCATATACCTGAAACAAGCTGGTGGCATAGGTGATGTAGTTGCGCATCCTCCCCTGAGTCGTGATACGTATCTCGTTCTCATTGATCGGGGTTTCCTCCCTCGGCTTCTCCACCCTCTGGTACCGATCCATCTTCCCATCCATCAAAAGAACCAAAACGATCAAATTTTGGGGAACACAAATTAGTCAATCACCCTAAAACCTCAGACTACTGTCAAAAAAAAAAAACAAAGGAAACAAAGACGCCTGCGATAAAACAGGAAAAAAGAAAGCCAATTACAGCGAACGGAAACCAAGAGAACCAAATTAAACCGAGCAAAGCCACAGAAATCAACTCAAGAAACCATCTTGGAAAGATTGAAACAAAAAAAAGGCAAGATTATAGCGAAGAAAACGAGGAAAAAAATCGAATTTTTACTGTTCCGAGAGCAGCGAGGATGAATCAAGCGACGAAGAGAACCAGAAACGACGAAGAAACAAGATTGAGAGGGATTTCCGCAGTCTCCTACCTCGGATATCGCTCCCACTCCTCGCCCTCTACGGCTCGTATACTTCTTTTCCGCCCTGAAGAAGGCTCCAACTGCGACCGCTCCTCCTCATATACCAATCCGCGTGAGAGCGGGCGAACGGGTCACGTTCCGGGTTAGGGTTCGTCCTCGAATCAAGAAGAAAGCCCCTGAACAGCCCATTAATTACCATCAAGGACAAAGAGACGACCGCCGTTGGATGATCGTGATGTACGGAGATCGAGGGCGATACGATGAATCGGCGTGTATTGGGAGGATGCCACATGTCCATCCTTATCCCCTACAATGTTTATCCACAACATTATTTTATGTGACTGTCTTGATGACAGTCTATTGGTGGATTAGTCAAAATTGTTGATTTATATGGTCATGAAAAAAAAATAAAAAGATATTTATCCATTTAAGGCTAACAAACAAAAAGAGAAAAATATTCTAGCGGATGATGTTTGGAGAAACCTCTTTTTCTTTTCAGGAAAATAAAATAAAAAAACTAATTTGTAGATTTTAAGGAAAAAACAAAATATTTCTATAGGTATTTTTTTTCCAAAAATATATTTTCATACATATATAAAACATGACACAGAAAGGAAAATGGTTTTGATTTTTTTTGTTGTAATTTTGAATTATTTATATTTATGTTTGATGAAAAATATTTTTCCCAACCTTTTTCTTTCAACCATGGAACCAACAAGTAGGCCCATATAAAAATGTTTTGTAGAAGGCAAAATTAATAGAAAGTTTTGAGATTTAGTGATTTAGGAGACTTTTCTTTTTGAATTGTTAATGCAATTCCATCATTTGAACTATAACAATTTCATGATGAGAGTAGCTAATTAATTGAATTCATTTGCTTGTACTAAAAAATTATTGAAGACTTGATCATCAAACATCCAAAGGTGAATCAAAGACCAGAATCCAAGGAAAATGTAACATTGAAATAGAGAGAGAATAGATACATGAGACATACAATCAAATCAAAGACCTATTAAGGCATTTAATGGCATGGGAATTTGAAGTCCAATTATTTTAGCATCCTCAGAACTTGAATGTCAAGTATTTGGCTTTTTCATTGGCACTGTGAGTTCTCCCATTATAGGTTGGATCTAAGAGTGTTTGACTTAAATCCTGAAATATCATGATATATTTCTAGGAGTTGATATGTAGAAAGTATAGTCTTTCAAGTTTCTGCCTTGCATAATTTGATATTTACATAAACATTCTGTACTTATTTATTCTAAATTTATTTTTTTGACACCCAGTTCATATGCAATTTATTGGATATCACAAGGCTTAGTATTACACCAAGAAAACGTCACATCATCATCAGAAAATAAGGGAGAGTGGGTGTGTGTGTGTTTGTGAGATCAATGGCGAAGAGGGCTTACCACTGGAACCTGAGCAGTACTTCCCCTTGCCTGCGTCTCCCGCGTGCAACCACTAGGCGCAAGGGGCGGGGAAGAGCCGGTGGAGTTGTCAGCAGCGTAGCCTGAGCCGTCACAAGCCCTATGTCAGTCAAATTTTCTTCACAAGTCGTGTTTGACGAAATGACTAGTGGGAGCACACTTACAGTCGGAGTTCTTCCACCCCAAAATGAGCCTCTCTCGGTCGAAGACGACGTGAAGTCCAATCAGAAAATTCTCTGCAAAGGGTACATCCACGAAGCTCATGTCGGATTCTTTGTGAAACATAAGCTTAGTAGTACTGGAACAAAAAGTTCCACAGCAGCAGGCAATTTTCTTGTAGTGTATGTGAAAGCTTACGCCGGAGTATACTGATTCCAGAAATCTTCACAATGGCCAGGCACTATATAGATTGATTTGTCTGCGTTACACATAAGAAGATACAGTAGCACACGTCATTAGAATGAACATAGATGATATCTTTACAAAATTGCATCCCCATGAAAGATGATAATTGGATCACTAACAGGAAAGACACTCCCACCATGTGTTGTGAGATTTATTTCAGGCAGCAAAATTGAGGTTTGGTTGAGGCTGCAGCATGTATTGTATATCATTAGATGATATGCTTATGATTCAATGTGAATATGCATTTGTCTTTCTGTAGATATAATTTACCTCAGTTCATAACAATACTTAAAAGTAGAATCTGGATCTGTTTTGTATCTTTTTACCTGTGCTTGTGCATTGAACTGTAGAAATGAAAAAAGACAAAGATAATTAATTACTATATAATCAGAATTTGGGTATCAGAATCTTGTTAGGTGCTTACACTCTTTGCAATATATTTATAGATTGGATCCTCCAAGGCTGTGAAAGAGGTACCAGAATCGACAGGAGCATCGAACACCATGTGGGTAGATTTATTCCCTACTGCAATTCTAGTTATGTTGATTTTGAAAGATGGGCTGCAAAAAACAATATGCAAGAGAAAATTAGATGAACATGATCTGCTGAAAAATGCAAATCCAGATGCACTTACTGTGTGCTTTGTTGATGATGAATGCAGCTTCTTGTTGATCCCAGCTGCCTTTGTCTCCAATGTTGATTCTACCAAGACCATCATCTCCAAAGCACATGGAGAAGGATTGAGCTGCACCATCTAGAAATGCACCAGCCTGTTTTATCTCCACATCTGCAGAATTATACCGGCAATCAATGGATTACCATTCAAGCCTAAGATGATTGTAGTAATTGAAGGCAACATACCCAAACACGATTGGTGCTTCAACAATTCGAGGAGTCTCATCCTCTGTCATCAGGTACGGTACATCCTCAACTAAGACTCCAGAAGTTGAAGTATTAGCAGATAAGTATTGGACAATGTAAGGGCAACTGCTGGTTTCTGCAGTGCATGCATTTTGGTTGTCGCATAAGCTGTTATTGCAGGTGATCTTTTGGCTTGTTGATGAATTACTGGTGCTATATATGTCGAACTCGAAGTTCTGTTGCTGTTTGAGTTCATAACATGAAACATAGGCATCAAGATAAACAAATACACCGAATAAGCGAGCCATAGGCAGACAGACTAATCTTGTCATCGTCAGAGAAGAGTACAAAGAACACTGAAGAACAAAACGCATCAAGCAGGCTAATGTGAATGGTAGAAACACCAATGTATGATTTGAAGTATGAGATCTAATTCATGTCTGCCTCTAATCAAGTCAACCCACAAAAAATCTAGAGAAGAGAATTTAGGTTATTCAAATAAGACCGAATTATTTAGATATCAGGGCAACATTCTCGGTCTCAATCGAAAGAAGTCACACAGCAAGAAGAACAAACACTTAATCCAAGAGAAGAACTGTGTTTACAGATATGACTAGTAATTAACCATATCCCATAAAAGATTCGAGCTTGAAAGGATGGAATCAGTAGACTTACATCGAATTTGGCGACGGCGCACTGGTGGCAATCACAGGGCACCCAGAAGAGATCACTGCCGGCGTCCAACGCCACCAAGAACGTCACATTCGGAGTCCCCAGCTTGAGGAAAGCATAAGGCAAGCTGATTCCGATACAAACAATATAAGAAGAAACATGCAATCACCATTAAAGATTCCAACTTTGAAACCCCAAATCCATAAACCCTAGAGGGGGAGGGGAGGGCTTGCAATCCCAGGGAGCTGAGCAAGTAGGTGGCATCGCCGTCAGCCTAGGAGGCGGCCGCGAAGGGGACGGTCGTGGCGAGCGAGGGCGGCGTAGTACTCCGCAGTGCCCTTCTGGGGCCACCAGTCACCGGGGATGGCGCGGGACTCCGCCCACCGGACGCGGTAGGAGAACCGGCGGTGGAACTCGAAGCCCATCCCGGCGGTGTCCGAGCACACCGGGGCGAGGAGGGGAGCGATAAGGAGGCAGAAGCGGCGAAGCGGTCCGCTGGGGCCACCGGTGGAAGTCATGAGAAGGAGAAGAGGCGAATGTGGGAGGGAAGGGAAACAGAGATCGAAGCAAGGAGGCTTGGGAGGCTTTTACAGGCGTTGGAGAGGGCGGCAGTTGACGTTTGACTTCTTTTGAGTTTGAGTTGGAAGGGGCCAAATTTATTACCCAATGAAATGTCAATTATACAAAACTTAATGTAATAATGCGTGTATATATATATATATATATATATATATATATATATATATATATATATATATATATATAT